TCATTTAGGTGAGGAGAGTCTTCTAAAATATGGGGATACAGAGCAGTAAATGGGAGAAGGCAGGCTTCTCAACGGGAGTGAACGGGGCAAAGGAATTAGGGGGATGGAATAAAACGGCGCAAGCTGAGTTGTCCAGTGAGAGCGGGGACAAGGTGATCCCTAAAGTGCCCCCAGCTCTAATGCTCTAGCCTGATGGGAGGAAGAGTGTGAGCGGCCACGGGGGGGAAGTGACGTGTAGGGAGGTGAGGTGTGGAGAAGAGTGTGGCTTCCTCAGTGACTTAGGACTGACTGCTGCATCTGCTGGAAAGCGGGAGACCACTGCACGGGTGGCCTATGAAGACATGATAGGCTCTTCCCTTCCGAGGGTCACTTACTGTTGTCTGATACACAGCGAGTATGCCATAAGGACTGGATGGATAGCATAAAGAGTGCTTAGTGGGCAAGGGAAGAAATAAGTAACTTAACTCCCCCACTTTTTGGAAGTCTCTCAATTACATGTCAGGTATTTAGGGGTGCAGTAAAAAAGCATGTCCTTTATCTTTGTACTCTTGTCTGGAACGGGCAGAACTATTTCTGGTGAGACAGAATGTTGTCTGGACAGGAGACACTGTAGGCTCTCCATTAGCTGAACCTCCAGGATACAGAGCAAATTCAGAAAAGGTTACAATCTGAAAGCAAACTTAGCCACAGTCATGTAATCAAGGAAGGTACAGTCCACGGATAAAACCAGAGCTGTTCACGTTACACAGGGACTTAACATGAAATGTGGCCTATCTCAACTCTCTCCCAAGTTTAATGGCATTCTGCCCTCAGAGCATGGCAAGGGTCCTCCCAGAAAGAAGATAAACAGGGTCCCCAAGAGGAAGCATTTTTCGGGGATCTTCCAGCTGGTCCAGACAGGAGGGGTCTGTGATCCTTCTACGAGGTTTAAGTATTTTTTCCTAAATCACCACTTTCTGATTGGATAAGCCCAAGAAAAATAACAGAATCACATGGCTGGCCTAACAAATGCAGCAAGTACACACAAGCAGGCCACTGGTTACAGGGTCCCAATAGCAACAGAGGAGGTCACACCCCAGGCAATTTCACCTCTCTTTTCTGTCACAATGCCAGGTCTGCTGAAATAAAATCTCTCACCTTCAGTCTTTTCTGTCACCCAGTCATTTATGTGTTTCCTGCATTCCTCAGTTTCTTCAGCAAACGCCAACTCCTCCAGATCGGCCTGATAGAACTTCTGGCAGGATTCCTTAAAGGCCTACAAATGCAAAATACTGAGTGTGGCCCTATTTGGCAAAGGTTCCCACGGTGTGAAA